CCTGCTCCTCTTACAGCACACACGCAGTGTTGCTCAGTGATTGGCCCTGCTCCTCTTACAGCACACGCAGTGTTGCTCAGTGATTGGCCCTGCTCCTCTTACAGCACACACACTAGCTTTTTTGCCTTCACTTAGCTGGAGGCTGTCTGCCTGCTTTGGCAGGGCACTGACTTTTTTTTTTTGTCTGTCCTCCCTACAGCTGCGCTAATGGTGGGGGCTATTACCACTATTCCTACGCTGTGGTGCGAGGCTGTGACCGCGTCGTTCCCGTAGACATTTACGTTCCAGGTGCTTACCAGCTCCGTTTTAATCCAGTGCTTTTCAATGAAACTCTGTACCAAAAAAAAGACCAGCTGTGATTTAAAATGGCCTGCAGCTGTTACACAGCTTCCTGTATTTTTATCAACAAAAAGCTGTTCTCTTGAGTATAAAACCCTTATTCCCCATAAGCATACCTAAATAAACCAAACTTGCTTTGTTACTTGCTCATTTAATTTAGTTCCATGTATAAGAAATGTATTATCCATTCAGTAAAAGGCGGGGGGGGGAAACTCTTTAACTCTTTTAAAAAGGTTACTTTGTCTTGTCTCCGCCTAGGCTGCCCCCCCACGGCAGAGGCTCTGCTCTACGGCACTCTGCAGCTGCAGAAGAAGATAAAGCGTGAGAAGAGACTGAGGATTTGGTATCGCAAGTAAAGCCACCACCTGCTTTTCTTGCTTAATACACCTGTTCCTGGTTTGTAGTTTGTTTCCTGTAAATCTGGCCGACAGGTGACTTTCTTTGTAAATCCCGTAGAGGTGCTGCCTTTACCTGTAATGCTAATAAATTAATCTTGTACATTGTGTCCTCGTTTTGTCATTCCCGCAAATTGACTCCACTTATGCTGTCAGCATGGGAAAAACTTACTGGGGGGGGGGCGGTTTCTTCACAAAATCAAATATCCAAGAGGCATGGCAACTACAGAAGTGTTTCTGAAACCGGGACTTGAGGACCCCCAGACAACCCATGTCTTTGCAACAAAACGTAGACCATCTGGCAGGGAGCTGGGAGGGAGCAAAAACATGGACCGTCTGGGAGCAAGAACATGGACCGTCTGGCAGGGAGCTGGGAGGGAGCAAAAACATGGACCGTCTGGGAGCAAGAACATGGACCGTCTGGCAGGGAGCTGGGAGGGAGCAAA